TATAGTTTTTGCAGATGACACCAAGCTGTGCCGTGGAATAACGTCCTTACAGGATGTCTCCAATTTACAAGCCGACCTCAATGCTCTGTGTAATTGGGCAACTATGTGGCAAATGAGGTTTAATATTGATAAATGTAAGGTTCTGCACTTGGGGTCTAAGAATATGCATGCATCATACATACTAGGGGGGGGGGATACAACTGGGGGGGATCAATGGTGGTGAAGGATCTGGGAGTTCTGGTAGATCACAAGCTTAATAATGGCATGCAATGCCAAGCTGCGGGTTCTAAAGCGAGCAAAATCCTCTCTTGTATTAGGAGGGGTATAGACTCCAGAGAGAGAGATATCATTTCCCCCGGTACAAATCATCAGCAAAACCTCATCTGGAATATGCAGTTCAGTTCTGGGCAACAATTCACAAAGAGAACATTGGGGAACTGGAGAAAGTACAGAGGGGCAACCAAACTAATAAGAGGCATGGAGGAGATCAGCTATGAGGAAAGATTAGAGGAACTGAATTTATTCTCTCTTGAGAAGAAGAGATTAAGGGGGGATATGATCACCATGTATAATACATAAGGGGGGATATGATCTCCATGTATAATACATAAGGGGGGATATGATCTCCATGTATAATACATAAGGGGGATATGATCTCCATGTATAATACATAAGGGGGATATGATCTCCATGTATAATACATAAGGGGGGATATGATCACCATGTATAATACATAAGGGGGGATATGATCTCCATGTATAATACATAAGGGGGGATATGATCTCCATGTATAATACATAAGGGGGGATATGATCTCCATGTATAATACATAAGGGGGGATATGATCTCCATGTATAATACATAAAGGGGGATATGATCTCCATGTATAATACATAAAGGGGGGGATATGATCTCCATGTATAATACATAAGGGGGGGATATGATCTCCATGTATAATACATAAGGGGGATATGATCACCATGTATAATACATAAGGGGGGATATGATCACCATGTATAATACATAAGGGGGGATATGATCTCCATGTATAATACATAAGGGGGGATATGATCTCCATGTATAATACATAAGGGGGGATATGATCACCATGTATAATACATAAGGGGGGAAATGATCTCCATGTATAATACATAAGGGGGGGATATGATCTCCATGTATAATACATCAGGGGGGATATGATCTCCATGTATAATACATAAGGGGGGGATATGATCTCCGTGTATAATACATAAGGGGGGATATGATCTCCATGTATAGTACATAAGGGGGGATATGATCACCATGTATAATACATAAGGGGGGATGTGATCTCCATGTATAAATACATCAGTGGTTCATATAGTGAACTCGATGCAGAGCTATTCACCCTGAGGTCACCACAGAGGACAAGGGGGCGCTCTTTACGTCTGGAGAAAAAGAAATGTAATCTCCAAACACGGAAAGGTTTCTCCACAGTGAGAGCTGTGAAAATGTGGAATAGACTCCCTCAAGTGTTGGTTCTGGCCAGCTCAGTGAATTGCTTCAAAAAAGTCCTGGATTCTTTCTTAGATACACAGAATATAACTGGATATAACATTTATAGGTAAAGTTGATCCAAGGAATATCCGATTGCCTCTCGGGGGATCAGGAAGGAATTTTTTTCCCAGCAGGAGCAAATTGGATCATGCTTTGCTGGGTTTTTTTTTTTGCCTTCCCCTGGATCAACTGTGGGTGTAGGATTATAACTTTTTTTTTTCTATGGTTGAACTGGATGGACTTTTGTCTTTTTTCAGCCAGACTAACTATGCAACTATGTAAATAATTTCAATTCAACTGATCACTCTTCATAACATTCTGGAATACATGAAAATTACTATGATAAAAACTGAGGCAGTAAACTTTGTGAAAATTTTCTATTTGTGGCATTCTCAAAACTTTTGGCCAGGGCTGTACAATCTGCTCTGGTTCTACCAAAAAATGTAGTGCAGGGGCTTACCTAATGGGATACACATTGATTGGTTAGATAAGGTAGGTGCTGATACAGTTTTAGTTCATCTAAAATTGATTGTTCAAAGACTGTTTGGTTGGACTGTAAGGTGTATAGTGACCCTAAGGTCCTTATCTCCCATGCATACATACATACGCTCATACCAGGGCTAATTCGAACATGAGCCATATACTACCAGATTTTTCAAACCAATATGTGTATTAACATTCTTATGAAAATCCATACAAACATTCTCAGTTCATTCAATGACTTGAAAAATGTCATTTGAAAGCACTTCAAAATGTTGTTTGTTTTAATAACCATTTTGGAACAAATGGACTTCCCGAAATGAAAGCCACACTCACTGTTAAAAGTTTGTTTTTTCAAGAAAAAATGTCCATCCTGCTCCTTTGAATCTTCTCATAACCGCATACTTCTGATTAGAGGATCAAAAGAACATTCATGAAATGACATTTTGAATAAAGTTATACTAGAGCAGGGGTCTCCAAACTTTCTAGACAAGGGGCCAGTTTACTGTCCTTCAGACTTTGAGGGGGCAGGACTGTGACCTTTGAGAGTAGAAAAGGTCAGTGGAGCAAAAACAATGCCCCATATTTGGGGTCAGTGAGAGGAAATGTTCCCCATCAGTGTCATTGGGCCCCATTGTTGGTATCATTGGGAGAAATTGTGACCCATTGTTGGCGTCATTGGGAGAAATTGTGACCCATCGTTGGCATCATTGGGAGGAATTGTACCCCATAATTGGTGTCATATGGAGGAATAGCGTCCAGGGGCGGACTGACCATTCGAGCACTCGGGCACTGCCCGAGGGCACGGGGTCAGTAGGGGGCCCCATGAAATGCCCCTGGTACCTTTTTTATATGCTTTTTTGGGTGTGATTTGAGTGTGGGCAAGGACACAGGGGCCCCATGATCCCCTATTGCCCAGTGGCCCCATGAGTTGTCATTCCGCCCCTGATAGTGTCCCATCATTTGTGTCAGTAGGGGGCAATTATGACCCATTGTTGGTGTCATTGGGAGAAATTGTGCCCCATCGTTGGTGTCATATGGAGGAATAGCATCCCATCATTTGTGTCAGTAGTGGGGAATTATGCCCAATCGTTGGTGTCAGTGGGCCCCATTGTTACTGACATTGGGAAGAATTGTGCCCTATCATTGGTGGCAGTGGGGGCAATTATGCCCCATTGTTGGTATCGGTGGATGAAACAGTGCTCCAAGAGCCAGATAAAGGGCCGCATCTGGCCCTTGGACCGCAGGTTGGAGACCACTGTACTAGAGTATGTCCCCCCATTTCCAGTGTTCTGTGTTGGTAGAGTTGAGTAAAGGCCACACACCTCATTAGAAGCATCCTTAACCACTTCCTGCCCAAGGACATCCATGGATGGAGTTTCAGTGGTTATACAGAGGGCTGATGCCTGCAGCTACAGACATCATCCCAGTATCAAAACGTGAAGCCGGAAATGCTCTTTTAGACAGAAGTGATTTGAGTGGCTGAACAGCCACTTGATCACTTCTGCATGAGGCGAAAGGAGGTCCTTCCGTCCTCCCCACCACCTTTCCAGGGCCACCCTCCCCCATTTGTGGATCCAGAGGGAGCTGTGACCGATGGCAATGGCTGCACAGCACAGAGAGAGAGGAACTGACATTGTTCCTCCCTCTCTGTGACCCTGGAAACCAGGAGCAATGAGGATTTCACTTCCGGTTCCTCATCTCTGTTTACCAGGAAAGTGGCCAATCAGACCAATCTGTCTGATCAGCTGCATTGGAGGCAAGAGGAGAGGTTTTGGGTCTAATAGACCCCAGATCTCTCCATAAAGAGGACCGGTCATGACCCATGCTGTCACAAGGGATGTTGTTCATCCTTTGTGATAGCAATAAAGTTCATTTTAAAAAATTAAAGAGACAGTGTAAAAAAAAAGTTTTAAATAAAATAAACAATAATAATATTTTTTTTTTAAAGTACCCCCATCCCCCTGTCCTTACTCGCAAAGTCCTGCATGGTGATGGCACCACACTTGTGAAGTAAGGTTGCGAACGTTAGAGTGAGAGCAATAATTCTAGCACCAGATCGCCTGTGTAACTCTAAACTGGTAACCTGTAAAGGCGTGTATTGTTTTGCCATTCTATGGGCGTATGTCATTTTAAAGTGTGACATGGTAGATATTTATCTACTCTGCATAACATCACCTTTTATATTTTACTGTAAAATTGGCTATTATATTGTGTTTGTGTGTATTAAAATTCATTAAAATGTAAAAACAAAATTGTGCTTAAAAAAACCGCTGCACAAATACAGTGTGATATAAAAAATTGCAACACCAACCATTTTATTCTATAGGGCTTCTGCTAAAATAAATAACTAGCGTATTTTTCGCTCCATAAGACGCACTTTTTTCCCCCCCAAAAAATGGGGGAAAATGTCAGTGCTTCTTATGGAGCGAATATGGAGCGGCCCGGTCCGGTATTTCCACCGCCGCCATGTCTGGCCGCTCAGCTCTGCAGCGGGACCTTACCTGTTCCTCTATCCAGCGCCGCGCTGTCTTCCCAGCTTCTGCAGTGTGGGCGTTCGGCATGATAGCCGGGTGCCCAGTGCGCATGCGCGTGAAGCGGTGCGCTTTGTGAATGGTAAGGCGGTACCTGGGACACATGACAGGTCCCAGAAGCCGCCGGACCAATCACAAAGCGCAGCGTTCTCGCGCATGCGCACTGGGCACCCGGCCGTCATGCCGAGCGCCCACACTGCAGAAGCTGGGAAGACAGCGCGGCGCTGGATAGAGGAACAGGTAAGGTCCCGCTGCAGAGCGGACACTAACTAAAGAACAACTCCGCGGAAGTAAGAGCGGGTACCTGTCAAATTCAGGTACCCGCCCCCCCCCCCCCCAAAGGTCAGCAGTCATCTCCTGTACTGTCCACAGTCTCTGGTCATCTCCTGTACTGTGTCCGCAGTCTCTGGTCCCTGTACTGTGTCCTCAGTCTGGTCATCTCCTGTACTGTGTCCGCAGTCTCTGGTCATCTCCTGTACTGTGTCCGCAGGTCATCTGGTTACTGTCTGCAGTCTCCTGGTCATCTCCTGTACTATGTCCGCAGTCTCTGGTCATCTCCTGTAACTATGTCCGCAGTCTCTGATCATCTCCTGTACTATGTCCGCAGTCTCTGATCATCTCCTGTACTATGTTTGCAGTCTCTGGTCATCTCCTGTACTATGTCTGCAGTCTCTGACCATCTCCTGTACTATGTCAGTCTCTGGTCATCTCCTGTACTATGTCCGCAGTCTCTGGTCATCTCCTGTACTATGTCTGCAGTCTCTGGTCATCTCCTGTACTGTGTCAGTCTCTGGTCATCTCCTGTACTATGTCTGCAGTCTCTGGTCATCTCCTGTACTGTGTCCGCAGTCTCTGGTCATCTCCTGTACTCCGCAGTCTCTGGTCATCTCCTGTGTGTCCGCAGTCTCTGGTCATCTCCTGTGCTCCGCAGTCTCTGGTCATCTCCTGTACTGTCCGCAGTCTCTGGTCATCTCCTGTACTGTGTCCGCAGTCTCTGGTCATCTGCAGTCTCTGGTCATCTCCTGTACTATGTCCGCAGTCTCTGTCATCTCCTGTACTATGTCCGCAGTCTCTGGTCATCTCCTGTGCTATGTCCTCTCTGTCATCTCCTGTACTGTCCGCAGTCTCTGGTCATCCTGTACTATGTCATCTCTGTGGTCACCATCTCCTGTATAGGTCCGCAGTCTCTGGTCATCTCCTGTACTATGTCCGCAGTCTCTGGTCATCTCCTGTACTATGTCTGCAGTCTCTGGTCATCTCCTGTACTGTGTCTGCAGTGGTACTATGTCTGCAGTCTCTGGTCATCTCATCTCCTGTACTATGTCCGCAGTCTCTGGTCATCTCTCCTGTACTATGTCTGCAGTCATCTGGTCATCTCATCTCCTGTACTATGTCTGCAGTCTCTGGTCATCTCCTGTACTGTATGTCTGCAGTCCTGTACTATGTGGTCATCTCATCTCCTGTACTATGTACTCCGCAGTGCAGTCTCTGGTCATCTCCTGTACTGTGTCCGCAGTCTCTGGTCATCTCCTGTACTATGTCTGCAGTCTCTGGTCAGTCTCTCTGGTCATCTCCTGTACTATGTCCGCAGTCTCTGGTCATCTCCTGTGCTGTCCGCAGTCTATGTCATGCAGTCATCTGTGTCCGCAGTCTCTGGTCATCTCCTGTACTGTCCGCAGTCTCTGGTCATCTCCTGTACTGTGTCCGCATCTCCTCGTGTCTGCAGTGTCCGCAGTCTGTCTGGTCATCTCCTGTACTGTGTCCGCAGTCTCTGGTCATCATCCGCAGTCTCTGGTCATCTGTACTATGTCCGCAGTCTCTGGTCATCTCCTCTGTCCGCAGTCTCTGGTCATCTCCTGTGTCCGCAGTCTCTGATCATCTGTGTCTACAGTCTCTGTACTGTGTCCGCAGTCTCTGATCATCTCCTGTACTGTACTATGTCATGCATGTCTGCATCCATTGGTTTAGAATATTTTTTTTCCTGTTTTCTGCCTCTAAAATCTAGGTGCGTTTTATGGTCAGGTGTGTCTTATGGAGTGAAAAATACGGTAAATAATAAAAAAAAATTATATATATATTTATATATATATATATATATATATATATATATATAAACGTTTGGGGGTTCTAGGTAATTTTGTAGCAAAAAAATGTAGATTTTTTATATATGTACGTGAGAAGTGTCAGAATGGTGGTTAAACAGGATTATAGTGCGGAGGAAGAGAGAGGGCGTGTCTGAACAGCTCTGTTAGAGTAGAAATGCATTCTCCAGGATGGTCAAAGGCTGGGGCCTACTGCAGGACACAATCGTATTTAGACACCCAGCACACTTGCTGTAACGGGAAAGTGGAGACAAGACAAGAAACAACAGAAACTGTACAATATCAAACAAACTTGCTTTTTCTGTGACTTCAGTTTAACTCTTTTACCAATGTTTCCATTTTTCATACACATGGTAATTATGAGCTGAAAATTTAGGACATTTACCCTAAAAATAATATTATTCTGAAAGCAGAGAACCTATGGAATAATATAATATAAAATATAATAATATTTATGAAATACATATTCACTGCAAAAGATGCACTAATTAATTTTAGAGAACACATACACCATATAACCTAATATAATTGTTCCATCAAAGAATTCATTTATAGTTACATATATATATATATATACACACACTGTATGTTGAATTGCGTTTTTTTATATATTTACAAAATATATGAAAAAAAATATATATTTAATCTACATTTTTGGAATGCATTTACAAATATATGTAAAAATATATGTTAAAATGACATTTTTATATGCTAAAAAAAAACCCTGAAGAATATATTTTAAAAAATATATATTTTTAAAAAAAAATTTCATATATTTTGTAATTTATAAAAAATGCATTTCAACATACAGTATATATATATATATTGAATACGGCCAACATTGTAGTATTTCAAATACAGTATATGTCAATATATATTTGGGAAGAATATTTTTAAAATATATTTAAAATATATTTTTCTTCCATGTGGGTGTCTACTTCCAGACCTAACTTTTTCTTGCACAGTAGCATTATAATAACTACAATTTTTCCTGAATAAAAACCACATTCACAGTTAGACTTTTGTTAGTTCAGTAATGAGAAAAAACATTTTTCTTTAAACGTTCCTCATCATTATGGTCGAAAATGATGATTGGTTGTAACCCACTAACCATTACAATATTGAACAAACGTTTCCAGAACGATCATTCTTAAATAAAATTTTAACTATGTATGGCCAACTTAAATTGTTACTAAACCCCCAACAGTACAATCAGTCTGTAGATGCAGTAAAGCATGCTTGTTATACTCACTGTGGAACCTAAGGGGTTAACCCTCTACATTGTGTAAAATGGCTGTATGATCCTGTCTTCTCTGATCCTCCCCTTCTACTGCCTCCAATCCATCTGCTGATGGTACAGAGCGCTAGGAGTCACTCTGCACATGCTCAGTTTAGTGTGTATTGCTAGAGAGGTTTTTTTCTTCTTGGGGTGGGGTGGGTGGATGTGATCAGCACAGGGCCAATCGGCATTGTCCAGACAGAGGGTCAGGGGTTATGCAGCCTCATAGAACAATCAGGGGAGAATGAAAACTCCTACAAGAATAACCAGTTCTCTGCTGGACACTGATAGAAGTAACAAGACTGCTATATACTGCTAATGAGAAAAGGTATTTAGAAGTTTATATTTACTAAAATAATTGCATTTCCATGTTCTGTGTACTGTGAGAGACCAGATATAGTGAATGCAAGGTCCGGAGAGACCGGATATAGTGAATGCAGGGTCCGGGGAGACCAGATATAGTGAATGAAGGGTCCGGGGAAACCGGTTATAGTGAATGCAGGGTCCGGGGAGACCAGATATAGTGAATGCAGGGTCCGGGGAAACCGGATATAGTGAATGCAGGGTCCGGGGAGACCGGATATAGTGAATGCAGGGTCCGGGGAGACCAGATATAGTGAATGCAGGGTCCGGGGAGACCGGATATAGTGAATGCGGGGTCCGGGGAGAGCGGATATAGTGAATGCAGGGTCTGGGGAGACCAGATATAGTGAATGCAGGGTCCATGGATGACCGGATATAGGGAATGCGGGGTCCGGGGAGACCAGATATAATGAATGCAGGGTCCAGGTAGACCGTGTATAGTGAATGCAGGGTCCGGGGAAACCAGATATAATGAATGCAGGGTCCAGGGAGATCAGATATAGTGAATGCAGGGTCCGGGGAGACCGGATATAGTGAATGCACGGTCCGGGGAGACCGGATATAGTGAATGCAGGGTCCGGGGAGACCGATATAATGAATGCAGGGTCCGGGGAGACCAGATATAGTGAATGCAGGGTCCGGGGAGAGCGGATATAGTGAATGCAGGGTCCGGGGAGAGCGGATATAGTGAATGCAGGGTCCTGGGAGAGCGGATATAGTGAATGCAGGGTCCTGGGAGAGCGGATATAGTGAATGCGGGGTCCTGGGTTTAGTAACACTTCAAGGGTTATGAGGATGACTAGTAATTGGACAAGCAAGTGTTTCTAAGTATGATGGCCAATGGTGCAGAGCTGTGCCTGAACTCATTGTATTACCCAGGCCTCAAGATATTGGATATGTAGTATTTAGAACACAACTGTACAAATATATTTATCATATTTTATTTTATGTGCAAATATCAGATTTATACATTACTGTGCTCATTGAGCATCACCTAAAATTTATATACCAGAAAAGAAGAAACAGATGACAGGACACATGCACACACGGTAACTAGGTCAAGCACGTGTGGCTAAGCATGATGACCAGCGGTAAAGAACCAAAATAATTTTATTACCCGCTCCTCAAGATGTTGAGTTTAGGAATGTTAGAAACGTTATTGTGCTCTTGAACCGTACCCACAATGTTTTCAGCAAAAATGTCGACCTTTAACCCCTTTCTAATATGTTTAAGATGTAGTTATTACTGGCTCAGTTACCCTTCATTTTACTGTTTGCTGACATCTTACAGGAGTATCCAATGTCTCAAGGAGGAGGGGGGACGTGGAATGATAGTCTGGTTTTTGGATTCAGCTTTAAAAAAGATCATTTATTTGTAGCACAGAAGACTGAATATTTTTATCAGGGATGTCTTCATAATCTACACTTCTGCCGGGACCCTGGACAATAGAAGACCTTAATGTGGAATTCAAGTCTAGAACTAAGTTTAAAACAGCTCCCACCCCCTTCCCTATAATAACTATACTGTAGAAGGAAGATGCTTATACTTACCTATTCTCAGGGCACCCCGGTACGGTCACATGATCAGTTCCCAATGGCCAGCTTCAGGGGAGAGGAGGGACAGTCGACAATGGATGCCCCATAGTAAGCCCATGGGTGATATCACTGCCCAGGCATTCCATCTGTTTTCGGCGCTCTCCTACATCTGGCTGCTGGGGAGATCATGTGACTGGAGTCCCTTGAAAATAGGTAAGAATAGGCATCTTCCTTCTACAGGGTAGTTAGTATAGGTCAGCCTTTCTCAACCAGGGTGGCTTGAGGTTTCTTCAGGGGTGCCTTGGCAAAATGTCTAAAAATTTCCCAAAACTTGTATACAAGCCAGCGGGTGGAACAAGCCTGCTTTTTAGTTACACAAAGCCATGGGTTTTCATTGTCCACCATTACGACCAGGGGCGGACTGACAAATCATGGGGCCCCGGGGCAATAGGGGATCATGGGGCCCCTGTGTCCTTGCTCAAACTCAAAAAAGCCTATGAAAAAGGTACCAGGGGCATCTCATGGGGCCCCCTACTGACCGCGGGCCCTCAGGCAGTGCCCGAGTTTCCAAATGGTCAGTCTGCCTCTGATTACGACCTTCTAGCAATCAGCATCCTGACAACCAATGGCATCATCAGTTGATAAGGAGGTTGTCAGCTGCCTGCACAGCATCCTAGTTCTACCCTCCCCTGCCCCTCTCCATCAATGCTGGGGTCACATTAGC